GTGAATTAAGGATTTATTTCCACCAAACCAGAGTTGGTGATTGTTAGAAACACTAACAGAGACGGTGTTGTTGAGTTTTATTTTGTTTCTGTCCACTTTGAATGAAGTTACAATGTTATGTTATTTGCAGTAAAATTAGGGGTTTTGTCTATGAGGTCTGGTGGCGAACAAGGATGACAATAGAGCTGTTTCTGGTTTACCATTATCTTACGTTTCAGCCCGTTTTTCCGTCCAGTTTGAAGTCTGTTTTATGATTATGTGCTTGGTAAAATTACCTGTTTTGTTCAGAGTCTGGTAACAGCCATTGTTTTGGTGATAGATACCAGTGCATATTTCTAACCTTTAAGTCAGAAAAAATCACATAAAAAAATACGAAACCATCACTGGCATGATCCTTCGTTACCATGAATTTAATATCCATGCAATAGATGTTTAGTAAGAAAAGCTGTGAAATAATTTTAGGCCTTTATTTGTTTAATTTTTGCTAAAATGTTACAATAATCAATTAATCTTAGTTTTAGTCTTTTATATTTTCATTGTTGTATAATCTTTTTAAAAAGGGGAAACACTTTATTGATCTCTAAGAGACAATACATCATCTGTAGAACAATGCATCTGTAGAATAACGAAGCCTAAATACTGTAGAACAAACCTCAGAGTCTGGTATAAAGTAGTAGGAATATAATTTGGTTTTGGCTGTAATACAGAGAGCAGTTTTCCTTCAGACAGCGCTGACGTCTCTTCTGCTGCTCTCCGACTCGTTGTGCCTGCTGCAGATGGTTTAATCTGGAGTTACTTACAGTAAATGTTACCTCTAGCTGAACTCTGCCTCGGCTCCTGCAGAGCAACAGATGGGGATAAAGAACATAAAAAAACATATCCAGTGAAGTGCTGACAGTTTGGCCTTAACCCCCAGACCTAAAAAAAAAGCTAACTTTAACTTTATCAGGAGTACACACTCCACCGTCATTAGCAGCTGACCCTGCACACGAGGCCAGCGCGGCGGTTTATGCTTCCAGTGTTTCACAACATTTTAATTGTCGACTGGAAGCTTTTAACTGTGGATAAGAAACCCAGATCAGGGTACTTTACTCTGAACGCCTTCAGCTGCTGTGAGTCCAGGATCAGTCTGGACAGCTGCCATGTTTGAAAAGACACAAATCTGGTGATCGGTCTGCGTGTTCTGCCATGTAGCAGCGCCGCCATTAGTGCGGTGGCGAGACGTAGTGAATGGCAGCAGATTGACAACGTTAGGCAGATTAATAAAAAATTGTTTTAACCCTTTAAGATAACATCCTCAGCAAATTGGTCCCATATTTAACAATGTATGTAAATCTCTTTGTAATTTTATATTAGAATCCAATCATTGAGTCTACTTTTAAAACTAAATGTGACACATGCTTACGTCAGCATGAACTAACTAAATTCAACCAATAATATCCTGACAT